GTCTCAAAAAAAAAAAAAAAGATATGCGGTAATCAAAATAGATACAGAAAAAGCATTTACTGGATTCAGAGTCCAAAGTGTTGACCATTACACCATGGGCCCCTTAGAAAAAGGATTTACTAAATCTAGTGGCCTTTCACTATTGCAAAAACAAACAAACAAAAACCTTCAACAAACCAGTAATAAAAGGGAACTCAACCTAATAAAGGGCTTCTATGAGAAACCCACAGCTAACGTCATACTTAATGGTGAAAGACTGAATGCTTTCCCCCTAAGATCAGGAATAAGACAAGGTTGTTCGCTCTCATCACTTCTGCTCAACATAGTACTAGAAAGTGAGGCGAAAAAAAGAATTTAAAAGCATCAAGATTGGGTGGCACCTGTAGCTCAAAGGAGTAGGGCACTGGCCCCATATGCCAGAGGTGGCAGGTTCAAACCCAGTCCCAGCCAAAAATTGCAAAAAAAAAGCATCAAGATTTAAAAGGAAGAAATAAAACTATCTCAATTTGTAGATGGCATCATCATGCATATAGAAAATTCTAAGAAATCCACTAAAAACTATTAGAACTAAGATACAACTTTAGTATGCTTGCTGAATACAAGACCAATACACAAAAATCAAGCAAGGCTCCCTAAGCTCAGAGAAGAGACACCCAGACATTATAATCCTCCTAATGGAAGTAAATAATGCCATCTATGACATTTTCTTGTCAAAAATAGTGAACCAGTTCAAGGCTCCAGATATAAATAACAGTTTGCAGGAAATAAAGAGAATGGAGAAATTTGTTAACACCATGGAGATTCAATCGGCAAAATCCAGAATGTGGGAAACTACAGATCAGACAACTTGGTTTCTTCAACCAATAAATCATAAGAAAAAAAAGGGGGAAATAAGAAAAAAAGGGACATATAGATTAAAAGGATTAAACTATATATTGACCAAATGCAATTTATGGACTTGGATTTTAATTCAAATTATCAACAGTATAAAAAATTAATAAGACAGGAAAATTTGAATATGCCTGAATAATTGATGATAACAGCTATTATTAATTTTTGGTATGAAATTATTTTATGGTTATTTTTAATGCTTTTCTTTTAGAGATGCACTACTTTAATATTTCTAGATAAAATGACCTTTGCTTTAAATAATCTTGTTTGAGGTGGGGGTACAGATGAAATGAGATTGACTATAAATTGATAATTGTTAGGTAATGAACACATGGTAGCTCATTAACTTTTGTATGTTTCCAATTTTCCTCATTTTAAAAAAGGATCCAGCATCTCATTGGGACCTGCACTAATCAGTTACAGAGGGAGTCAGGTAGCACATCAGAAAAGGAAGGAAGTCAATCTCTGGTTAAACATTCTGATGAATAACCTAACATTGTTTTTGGAAAATGAAATAAAAGAGAAGCAGAGTGGAGTAAGGAAAACAGCTTTGACCCTAGTACTAAGAGACCCAGAGTCAAGTTCAGATCCATCACTTCTAAGCTGATGACTTCATCCCCTCTCTGAGCCTCGGTATGCTTACCTTTAAGATAATGCTGCAGACTAATTTATCTCTTAGCTGTGGGGTTAAAAATCTTCCTTAAAATTTGTCCCAAATGATGGGTATCTTCTAACCCTCATTTTTGCAGGACTCAGGATAAGAATAGAAAAGCTGGTCTACTAACCATGTCTGAACATTTAAAAACTATAGGCTCGGCGCCTGTGGCTCAAGTGGCTAAGGCACCAGCCACATACACCTAAGGTGGCAGGTTCGAATCCAGCCTGGACCCGCCAAACAACAATGACGGCTGCAACCAAAAAATAGCTGGGCGTTGTGGCGGGCGCCTGTGGTCCCAGCTACTTGGGAGGCTGAGGCAGGAGACTCGCTTGAGCCCAGGAGTTGGAGGTTGCTGTAAGCAGTGAAGCCACGGCACTCTACCCAGGGGGATAGCTTGAGGCTCTGTCTCAAAAAAAAAAAAATATAAATCAAGATAACAAATTGTAAAATAAAACATTTATCCTCCCACCCTGACCAGTATACCTTCATGACCTAAAAGGCCAAGTTCATTAAAAATTCACAGGCTCATCGCCCATAGCACAATGGTTACAGTGCCAGCCACATACACTGAGAGTGGTGGGTTCAAACCCAGCCCAGGCCTAAATAACAATGACAACTGCAACAGAAAATAGCTGGGCATTGTGGTGGACACCTTAGTCCCAGCTACTTGGGAAGCTGAGGCAAGAGAATCACTTAAGCTAAAGTGACCAGATTTTAACATTGGTAAAGCAGGACACTATGGGGGGGAGGGGGGCGGAGCCTGACAACAAAGCAAAGTTTGATAAGCAGTTCTTAATAATCAGTTGCCAACAATTATTTGTTATTATTAAAGTTTAACATTATAAAATTAACAAAAATAATATAAAATGCGTATCCTGGCAAAATAGCCACATGTCAACCAAAAACCATATATTCCCTTCCTGTTCTCCTGTGTTCCCTAGCTTGTCATGCATTCTTTCCAAAAATTGGGGCTTCTTTAAAACGCTGCAGGACGAAGGACAAATTGTTAAAAATCAGGACTGTCCTGCCAAAAGTGGGATGTCTGCTCACCTTACTCTAGAGAGGAGGAGGCTACTTGTTTGTTCCAGACAATTTGGCTCCTTCTGAGCTAACTGTCCTTGCCTAGAAGCAAGGGAGGGAGCCAGTCTCCTTCTGATACCTTGCCCAGGAGGGGAGTAGGGAGTTTACATTAGCCTTTTCATTTCCAAATGAAGTTACATTAACCTCTTCATTCCCCCAATGGAGTTACGTTAACCTCTTCATTCCCAAATGGAGTTCCATTAACCTTTTCAGCAGCTGAAAACCATATATTCCCTTCCCATTCTCCCACTGTTCCCTAGCTTGTCATGCATTTTTTCCAAAAATCAGGACTTTTTAAAAATGCCACTGGACGCGGGACAAATTGTGAAAAATTGGGACTGTCCCGCCAAAAGCAGGATGTCTGGTCACCTTAACTTAAGCCCAAGAGTTTGAGGTTGCTGTGAGCTGTGATGTAACAGCACTCTACAGAGGGCCACATAGTGAGACTCTGTCCAAAAAAAAAAAAAAATTCACAGATTCCTTGAGGTTCCACACCTACTTCCCCTCAACCAGCCCCGGGCCATGGCCCATCCTCCTCTTCTCATCTCCAGCTCCCACCTTTACTGGGAAAGGCCACACACACAGATGCTCCAGTACACACACATCTCCAAGCTCTGGGTCTGTCCCTCTCTAAATAGTTTCCTCTTAGCCACCTCAAACCCAGCAGTGTACACACTGGTGGGACAGTTCACCCTGGGGAGAATGGATCCAGGAAAGAGGCCTATACAGCCCATGGAAGCAGGCATGGGGTCACTGGGCCGAGAATTTCAGAGTTCCAGGTACCAAGAAGAAAGCCCATAGCGGAGACAGACTTCAACTAGACATGCCCCCCCCCTGGCTCTGCAGGCTTCTCTTTCCATGAGGAACAGCATGGCTAGAGCAGGATTTTCTGCATGGGCCCAATGCAAGAGCTTTTCTTGTCCAGATCTAAGGTACTGGGTATGTGAAAGTATCATTATATTGTTCTCTTTCCTTTTATGTAATTTTGAAATTCCACTATATTAAAATTTAAGGACTAAAACATGAAAAAAAAAGAAAAAAAAATCCTTCCAAAACCTGAGTTAAAGATCCCCTGAGACTGAAACTCTGTGTCTTTATGAGCATCATTGAAATTTTCCTGCATACTCAGTTCTCTAGAAACTTGAGCTTTGAATTCTTTCAGATTAATATAAGTCCAGTACCATATAGATGGGGACACAATGAAAAGTATTTGATAATGTTGTGGATTCTATCTCCAAAACAAACCACTTCTACGAAAAGAGAAAAATCTAAGGAGTATCACAGGAGTTCTCATAGGTGAGATTTAGCCTTGTACAACTGGAAAGCTTTCAGAGCTTCAGGGATGAGATAAAAATGACTCAGAAAACAGATACTAAGAAACATCTCTCCCCTCCTCCCAGAAATACAAAATGAGTCTTTTGATTGGGAAGCAATTGTATTTAATCACCAAAATTATTTTGATCCTAATGGAAGAGAAATAATCTAAGTTTAAAGGGGGTAGGGCTTTTTCTCCCTCAATTAAAGGCAAGGAGAAGTAAATACAGAAAACAGAATCCCTAAGCTGAGGCACTGATAAAGTTTCCAGAGAGCAAAAATCCCCTTTCCTTTCTGCCCTTACGTTGTCCTCAGGATACTAAGCACCCTGCTTTGGAATAAGGCCACCCCAGGTGGTGCCCTCAATTTATGCTTCCTCATTCTGTGCTCCTAAGGGATGTTTCTCTTTATCCTGATCCTCATCCTCATCGTCATCATCGTCATCCTCATCGTCAGTGGCCTGAAGAATCCTCAGGAGTTTGAGCTCAGGGTTCCAGCTGTCTTCAGACCTGGAAGCCTGGGGTTCCAGCGTAGCCTTCACTGGAGCACTAATGTTCTTGTTAGTGAGTTCTCTTTCAGGTGATCCAAGACCTAAAAGAAGACCCAACCATTAATTGCACCTGTGACCTTTTCACAAATAACTGTGACAAATGGAGGGCAGAAAAGAAAAGACTGGTGTGTTTTTTAAGACCTCTCTGAAGGAAGACTGTGCCTTTAGGGAGGTAAACCATCCTGGGCAACACAGGCTCAGCTCTCCCTGACCTCAGTCACTTACTAGGGCTCCTCCACCTTAATAACTTACTTTCCATACTGAGGGAGAAATCCACACACTTCTTAGAGTAGTCCATCTTTGATCTCTCTGTGGAATTCTGAAATTCATTGGGGTAAGAGTAAGATTTGAATCAAGACATTAGGAAACTAAAAGGATTCTATTAAAAGATGCTTTTCTCATAGAAATTAACATCTAAGGTTGTCCAAAGACCTACCTCCTAAACTGAAGAGAAGCTTGTATCACACATATTTTGCTTTCTAGTCTGCCCAGATGAAGCCAGAACCCGCTCCTTACCATTTCCACCAGTCTACTAAGGGTAAGCCACCTCTAAAGATGGCTGCAAACAATTCCTTCCGTTCCTGTGTGCACATGCTATTCCTCCCGTCATGGAGTCTATTTCCTCTTCTCTTTTTTTTTTTTTTTTTTTTTTTGAGACAGAGCCTACTGAATAGCTGGAACTATAAGGGGGCCAG